AAAGGGGCAGCTTGAGGAGACAAACCAAAGCATTATAACGAAATGTGCCGAACTCTGGAGTTAGAAAATCAAACAGGGAGACGATGCCTAACGCTTCTCAAGCTGAAAGAACTGAAGAAACACATCCAAGCCTGTAGGTGCAATGTTGACTAATTCTATAGACAAGATATTTAACGACATAGGAAGCATCAGGGTCCTCAAAAACTCTCTGCCGACGAGTGGATTCTGACTTTGAGTGACCATGAGGACAGAGGAAAACTGCCCCTTGGGACTTTGAGTTTCCAAGGCTTTAAATCTTCATGGAAGCAGGCATCCTCATCTTTCTCCCACAGAGAGGCTGGTGGATTTGAACAGCCGACCTTTGAGTTAGTATCTGGATGTATAGCCCACTATGCCACCAGATCTCCCTCATCTAGGGAAGATGAAGGAAATACACAGAAGCACTGTACCAAAAAGAACTGGTCAATGTTCAACCATTTCAGGAGATAAGGTTAATCACAGACTGACAGTATTGAAGGAAGAAGTCCAAGCTACAGTGAATGCTTTCATGTAAAGCAAACCTCTAGGAATTGATAAAATGCCAATTGAAACGTCTCAACAAAGAGATGTAACTTGAGATATGCTCACTCATCATTGCTCAGAAATTTGGAAGACAGAGGGGCTGGCCCATGAATGAGCAGAGATCCCATCCCAAAGAGAGATTGATTCCACAGAAAGAGGAAATCATCAAATAGTATTAATATTACATACAAGCAAAATTTTACTAAAGGTGATCCAAAAGCGATGGCAGTAGTACATCTACAAGCAATGTCACAAATTCAAACTGGAGTTAGAAGAGGACCCGAAACAAGAGAGATCATTGCTGACGCCAAAGGGACCTTGGATGAACGCAGAAAACACCAGATGGATGCTTGCTTGCGTTTCATTGACTATTGCAAAGACATTCGCCGGTGTGCACCATAACAGATGCTGGGTGACATTAAAAAGAGAGGGAATTTCAGAGCACTTCATTATGCTCATGAGAGAGATCTGTGGATAGGCCAGGAGGTAGTCATTGGAACAGAGCAAGGGGATTCTACATGGTTTACAATCAGAAAAGGTGTGCAACAGGCTATAGTCTTTCACCACATCAAAAGATATCAAGCAACAATTCAGGGTCGCTGGGAGGAGACGAGCCAGTCAGGGTGCAGTGTAGCAACGATGAAACATTCAACTTTCCTCTACTTCCTAAATGCTTCCTCTCCCCCTCCTTCACCCCCCACTATCATGATCCCAATTCTACCAGAGGATGTACACTGGTACAGATAGGAACTGGAAACACAGGGAATCCAGGACAGATGATCCCTTCAGGACCAGTGCTAAGAGTGGCGATACCTGGAGGGTGGAGGGAGGGTGGGGTGGAAAGAGGGAACCGATTACAAGGATATACATATAACCTCCTCCCTGGGGGACAGGCAACAGAAAAATGGGTGAAAGGAGACGTCGGACAGGGTAATATATGACAAAATAATAATTTATAAATTATCTAGGGTTCATGAGGGAGGGGGAGGGGGGAAGGAAGGGAAAAATGAGCTGATGCCAGAGGCTTAAGTGTAGAGCAAATGTTTGGAGAATGATGAGGGCCATGAATGTACAAATGTGCTTTACACAGTTGATGTGTGTATGGATTGTGATAAGAGTTGTATGCGCCACTAATAAAAATGATTTTTAAAAAAAGAAAGCAACAATTGAAGAAGTCGTATTAAAAGAAGACAGTATTGGGGGTAGAGGAGACTCATTAACAACTCTGCTTGCGAAAGGGAAGAAAACTCGAAGGATTTATGGTGAAGATCAAAGACTGTAGTCTGTAGTTTGGAGTTCAAGTCAACATTAAAAGACACAAAACAAACTTTTACAACAGAACCAATAAAAAATGTTATGATAGCTGAAGAAAATATTCTGATTGTGAAAGATTTCATTTTACTTGGATCCACAATCAAAGCCCAGGGAAAACGGCAATAAAGAGATCAAATAGCATATTCCGATGAGCCAATTTGGCCCAAAAAACTTCCTCAAAGTGGGTTTTAAAAGGCAAAGATGTCACCATGAGGGCATCTTTGTGCTCGTCACGTTGTGCTTGACGCAAGTCCTGGAATTTCCAGTCACCACACACGCACGCCAGAGCTGGGGAAAGAGGAGGTGATCGCAAAGGCTCAAACAGAAAGAACATGTTTGGGAAATGTTGATGGCGACATATGTACAAGGGTGCTTAATACAATTGAACGATGGATTGTCATAAGATTTGTAAGAGCACACCAATAAAACGATTCATCTTTAAAAAGCTGAGGAATGGATAAGGACGACAAAAATAGAGCAAGAAATGATGGGTTTGAATTACGGTGAGGATGAATATGAAATGTATCACGGACTGCCAGAAGAATGAACAAATGCGTCTCGGAGTGTAGCCAGAATGTTCCTTAGAAGCAAAAATGTCAAGACTTCATCTCAAGACTTTGGGCTTGTTATCAGGAGAGATCAATCTCTAGGGAAGGTCATCCCATCTGGTAGAGGAGGCGTTTTTGCTAAGAAGGGAGGAAGACCCTCCACAAGATCTATGAACGTGGCAGCTACGACACCGTGCTTCCATGGAGCGATCATGGCAATGGCGACGCGGCCTGGGCCGCGCACCAAGAACAACCTTTATGGAATCAGGTTTCATCTTTCTCCCACCTAGTGGCTGATGAATTCAAGCCTCTGACCTTACGTTGGCAGCCTACCTTTTATCCGCCCAGCCTATGCAGAGTGCACTCTGAGGAAATGCCATTGAAAGGCGTGTGTACACTTTCCACGCACACATGTGCACAGGCAGACTGGACTCTCGGCGGCTGTAAAGTACTGCAGGGTTCCGCCGTGTCAGACGTGATCTCCGAGACCCGAGCCATGGAGCAGACTTCTTTCTGCACAAAGGCCTATGTGACATTGGCTTCTTCTTGAACTCTCATCTAAAGCAATTGCTTTTGCTTTGTTTCATTTTGCTTCCATGTCCTTGACCGAGATTCCTTCGCACACTTCCACTAGCGCCCCTGTAATCCAGGGTCCCCGCGGGTTTCCCTTAAGTCTGTCCTTGTAATTGGTTTTAATGGAAATCCATTTGAGTCCCTGTCCTGTGGTTATAATTATCCGTGACTACTTCAATTCCTTCTAGTTCAAGATTAAAATTCAAACCATTCTTGTCACTTAAGAAACCTGGGAACGTTCCCATTTTGTTGCTTCTTTTCTTCACCCCAATAGCGTGGTGTTTCCTTTGTTTTAAATTTCTTTGTTTCTCCTGGCTTTACATTTTCTTCTCTGCTTTTCTCCACTCCTAACAGTTTCAATTTATTATGCCCCAGGTGTCTTCCATTGCCTGCTGAACGTGCTTTCCATGGGGAATAGCTATATATAAGAATGTTATTAACCGGAAAAGTTCGTATTTATATGACAAATATCAGAATGTTTTACTACCTACTGAGAAAACATTCAGATGATTAACTTGTTCCATGTTTATCTAAATCGTTTGTCTTCTAAAGCATGCCCCCAACCACCCATCTTCTTTATGCTGAAAACTGTTCTTTATAAATATTAATCTGTTCTTTTCTGAGTTGCTAATGATCAATATTTTCATGCCTTTATCCAACCTCATGACGTTGTACATTAAACGAGCATCAGTGTAGTGAGAGTGGTGTAGGCTGGACCTCTTTCTGCTACTGCCATCTAGTGGTTCTTGTTAGTATAAGTATGTTCTGAAAGTTGTGTATCAAATCCAAATCGCTAATATAGGCCAGAGTAACTGGCCCATAGGGTTTTCCAGGCATATATTTCCACTAATAAGTTTTCCTCCACACAGTATTGAAATAACCCTGGTTAATATTACCTAAGGATAATAGGGAAAGCATTTTTGTTGAAACTTTTGGTTGAAGAATTTTTCAAATGTATCATTTCGCTGATTCTCGACAAGATGTCACTTGAGACACACCAAGAGTTCTTCTCCTGTACCAACCTACCTCTCAGCTCCAGTTACTGTCTCCGAGTATAGAGCCCCTTACTTTTCCTAACACCTGTGCACCAGGACCTCCCTGGGAGAAGCAAGAGTCTGGCAAAGGTAGACAAGTGGGGAGGCTTGTAGGTGCAGAATGGTGCACATCCCTGAAGTGCACATGCAGAGTCAGATGAAATGGTGCATGCTTGGCTGCATATCTTCTCAACGAGAACAAAATTAAATTAAAAGGCTCTCAAAAAGATGAAGACTAGTTCTTTTTCTCCTAATTCACTTATGAACAAGTTAATATTTTCCCTATTTGTGGCAGGTTTGGATCAATAATATATCTGCAGCACTTAGCAGGGTACCTAAGGCAAAATCTACTGCCAGCAGGTTGATTCTGGCTCTTGGTGACTCTATAAAGAGTTTTCAGGCCTGTTAATGTTCATGGGAGCAGGCCGCCTCAACTTTCACTCTTAGAGTGACTGGTGGGTTTGAACTGCCTACCGACACTTGCCTGAAAGTGCTGCTGGGGCTCCTAGGGTGTCTAATAACTGAAAAACCTCACTGCCATTGAGTTTATTCTGACTCAAAGTGACCCCAGAGAACAGAGTTGAATTGGCCCAATGGGCTCTTGAGATTGTACATCTCTGCCGGAATAGAAAAATCTCATCTTTCTCCCAAAATGCGTGGGTGGTTTCAAACTGCTGACCTTGTGGTTAGCAGCCCAGTGCATAACCCACTATGAAACCAGGGCTCTCTAGGGACCTACTCTTTCGTAAAACCTCAGTAGATATATGCACAATCAATAAATCTAAGGGCTATACTAAAAGACACCATGAGTAAGAGTTTAGTGAGGCCATTGGTTTGGTCTATAAATCAGAGCTTTGTGTTTCTTTATACTTAATATTATTCCTGTATTTTACATCACCAAAGTTGCTTTTCAGTGAGGAAAGAGACTACTTTGTAAACATGATGTCTTAATTCGATTCTCCCTTTGCAGCTCTCTATCAGAACCCTTTGTGCCAATATAACTTGTACCGTTTACACATAATCTACCATCTGCCGGGAGTGGAATTTCTTGACAGAAATCGTAAGGACACTGCTTTTTCTCCCAAAACTAATATTTGAGAGTCTTAAAACTCAATGGACTAAAAATATCTTTGAAAACTATTGTCTTTGTTATTTTTTTAAAACCCAATTATTTATTTTTAAAATGTATTTGTTTAAACATTTTTACCATCTGAAAATTGTTCCATTTAAGAATTCATGTCTAATAACCACTTTGTCAAAAATATTATCTTTTGTCCAGCTTTTGAGAATAGTGTGCTGGATGTCAATCATTTATTCCTGGTATTTCAGTTTCTTCTCTCTAAAATTATCATTTTATTTCCACTAAACCTCTTAAAGCCAGTTTAAGTTCTAAAAGTCCTCATCTTTGAAATTCTGTAAACATATGTTAAAGCTAGTCTTATCAATAGTAATTCCATTGTGATTACACATTTAGAAATTGCATACAAATTAGTGTATCTGATTTACACATGCCACAATAACAAAAATCTACCACAATATATTACATTTTACGTTTTTTTGAGACTGATTTTACTCTGCTCACTTTTCTGTCTCACAGGGTTGGATGTTTTCAATAATTATGACTAAGTACCTTATGTTTATGGGAATATCAAGACCTTATGACTCTATTCCTCATAGCCTTGAGGAAATTAGGGGCAGGTTTTACCTACTATTCATGTGGCTGATGTGTTACAAAATGTCTGGGATACACTAGACTGCAGGGTGGATCTGAGCCTTGTGACATGAACTTTTGTAAGGTTATCAAATAACTGATAGCTCCTTTACAAATTACTCTTGACAGGATGTTCACATGTAACCTAGTTCAGAGAAACACACATTTGAAATTCGCCAATACTTTTTGACATTCTGCAAATTTATCTACAGTGCTGAGCACTGACTCTACTTTTGCCTCTATCAGATGTTACAGAAAAAGAAAGAAGATCAATGATTGCCATTTTTAACCATGAAAAATCACATATTCTCCAATCAATTGCATTTGGAGGAAAAGTTGATGTCTCCTGGAATACCACACCACCAGTTAAACCAAAACCAACCCAGCATCTACCTTCAGGTATATTGAGTTTTTTTTAAGGGAGGAAAAAGATACTAAAACTACACAAGCTTCTGAGTAACCTGATCATCATCGTCGTCATCATCATCATCATCATCATCATCACACTTGCAATTACACTGAGCTAAGTATAGAGTAAAATGCATAATCTCTAGCTTAGTGATTTTGTAACTTAAGCCTTGATGCAAGTATTTTCAGTTAGTTGAGGTAGTGTGATAGCAATGAGATCAATCATACAGTGAAGACTTTATACCATACTTGTTTGTTGCCATCCAATGGGTTCAGACTCAAAGCAGCATGATGTACAACAGAACAAAATAGGGCCTGATCTCCTGGGCCATCTCACAATGGTTCAAAAATGTGAGCCCATTGTTGGATCCACTGTGTCAATCTGTCTTGTCAAAGGCTGTTCTCTTCCCCACTACTTTACCAAGCCTGGGGACTGGTCTCTACTGATAACATGTCCAAAGTATGTGAGGCGAGCTCTCGTCATTTGCTTCTAAGGAGCATTCTGGCTTTACTTCTCCCAAGACAGCTTTGTTTATTTTGTGGGTGGTCCGTGGTAATTTCAATATTCTACACTAGCACCGTAATTCAAATGCATCATTCGCCTTTGGTCTTCCTTATTCAATGTCTAATCTTTCTCCTGTGTATGAAGTAATTGAAATACCCTGGCTTGAGCCAGGCAAACTTATCCTCAAAGTGACATTCTTGCTTTTCAACACTTTAAAAAGGTCTGTGCATTTACCCACTGTAATGCATACTTAGCATAGTGTAGAGTTTCTGTAACATTGCTATTGTTACCACAATCACAGGACAATTTCATCAATTAAGAAAAAAAATTGGGAATGAAGGAAAAATATTAACATTAAATAAAGATCATCTGCAATTGTTCAATCAGGAAATAAGGACTGTTGATATGTTGGTATGTAGTCTTGATATGCAATTATAACTTGAATATTTTCAGTGATATTTACCAGTTAGGATTGCATCCTATGTAATGGAGATATAGTTGCAGTAGCAACTATGTTATGTTATGTAATGGAGATATAGTTGCAGTAGCAAAAACAAATAGAGATTTTCTTTTCTTAGATAACAAAGAGTACAAAGGCAGGGTGTCCAAGTTGAGTGTACAAACTCCAGGAATACATCTGCCTATTTTCCCTGCCACTTTTTGTGTGATGTATGAGTGCAAAGTAGCTTCTTCACCACCAAGCATCACATTGCCATTCCACACAGAAAAGGGAGGATTGAAAAAACTGTGAACACCAAAGTCTTTGCTCCTTAACATTTTTCCCCAAGAGAGAACTTGTGATGGGAAAGAGCCAAATACATTTTCTAGAAATTAAGAAAAAATATGAAATAGAAATTATTCGGTTATTTAAATTGCAAGATAGTTTTGAGGAAATAACCCAGAGAAATAAAATGAAGATATTAATTTGATGTTGGGACCAGAGACAGTAGAAAGATTTAAAAAATAAATTTAGTAAAGATCCTTAAAGAAGAAAAAGAACAGAGACAAGTTGAGAAGTTCATAGTTGAGGTGATAATGGCTAGGGATTTTCCAAATGATATGAAGCTTTAGGTTCATCAGGAAAAAAAAGTAACCAAAAATATATACATTAAAATTGTCCATACCAAAGGCAAAAAGAAAATCTCAAAGCAGTCAGAAATAAAACTCATTATTACCTACAAAAGAATAACAAAGATTAAGTACTAACTTCTCAATTGTAATAATGGAAGTCATTCAAAAATAGTCTAATGCCTTAAGACAGTGGAAGAAAGTAAGAGTCAACCAAGAATTCTATAAATAAACAAATTTATGAACAAGAATAATCATTTTTATTGTTTTATTAGATAAAAAGTTGAAAGAATAGAAGAATAAGTACCTTCTCTATGCCCTGACATATTCAACAATTGATCAAATGTAACCACATTTGCCATCCCAACACCATATGCATGGCTGTACCTCTTTATGTGAGAAGGCCAGGGCTTCCAGGAAACCTTACTTCTATCTCCTTAGTTGTCCCCTAACTTCAGTGTAAGCTTGGAACTTGAATCTGTTTCTAACCATTAAACGTCTCAGTCGCCAGTGTCATCCTGACACTGACTCCTAGTAATCTATCCTAGATGGTTAGCAATAGAGGCGTTTACCTCTAAAGCCATAATGCCACTATCACCAATAAGACAGAAAGGCGTTTACCTCTAAAGCCATGATGCCACCATCACCAATAAGACAGAAAGGCGTTTACCTCTAAAGCCATGATGCCACCGTCACCAATAAGACAGAAAGGCGTTTACCTCTAAAGCCATAATGCCACCATCACCAATAAGACCAATACGAAATTTCTATAGATGATCCAGTGCAAAATCCATATTCAAATTTGACAGTTATTCCCAAATGCCTTCGAAAGTTGCTCAGTTCGAGTCAGAATGAAGCTGAAAGAGATAAGCAGCACAACGCATATGTTCTTGGTGGGAATATACACTGGTTCGGCTGCCTCGGAACACCATATGGCAGTATTTATCACCATGCACAATGTGCAAACAATTTGACAACAGCAATTCCATGAGAAGTCTCTCTCCTATGGAAGTCCTTGCATACGGGGACAAAGATGTGTATATGGCTGCAACATTTATTTCTAATAACAATAATAATGAAAATGATTTAAGTAGGCATTCATCTGGGGAATGTTAAATCATGGCACATGCATACAATATAAACAATTCAAATATAGAACTATCCCGTGATATAATTTGAGTATAAAGAGACCACATTACAGAGTAATGTAATTCAGCGTAATGGCGAAATTAGATGACAAACCTGTGGGGATGGATGGATGTCAGTTTGCATGTGTGCACGTGAGTACACAGAGAAGATGGGAAGCCTACACACACAACTCTTACTATTGGCACTTCTGATAAAAGGAGTGGACTGCTGAGAGGGAGGTTTTGGTTTTTTAACTCTATTTACTTTATTATTTATATTCATTAAAACCTTACTGACATGATCACTGAAGACAAATGAGTGCATAAGCAAATGTGGTGAAGAAATCTGATGGTGCCCGGCCATCAAAAGATATAGCATCTGG